TCAGGGTGGCAAAGGGTCTGGAACACACGGTAAATGTGGAATGGCTGAACGGAGAGGATGCTGGTGGGAACAATAAAACTTAGGAAGAATAAGAAGAATGTCTTCAGATAATCAGTGGCTGGCTTTCTATAGAATGGGAGCCAGACATTTTCCTTTGTGGCTCTAGAGCAGTGATTCTCAATCTATGGCTGCATCCGGGTCCACTGGAGGGTTTATTAACACAGATTACTGAGCCACATGCCCAGCATTTCCGATTCAGCAGGTCTGGGGCAGGACGGAGAGTCTGCATTTCTGACAAGCCCCCAGGACATGCCGATGCTGCTGGTCTAGGACTACGCGTCACTAGCCGCTGTTCTAGTGCACAAAAGCAGAAAAGCAGATTGTGCTGTCAGGAAGGAGGAGGAGAATTATTTATTGAGAACCTGGTGTATGAGCCCCTGCGTTACACTCTGTCTACATTTTCTCAATTACTCTCCCCATTCTGGAGAGGAGGAGGGGCCTCTGTTGTTCCTGGACCTCGCAGACCTCTCTCTCTGACTCCAAGCCCGGGCGGCTGAAGGTGCGACTGAGTGCCCGCCTGTAGGGCCACTGCCAGTGGAGTTCTGCTTCCGAGCGGGACACTGTAGCAGGCCATTCAGAGAGTCCTCCGACTCTCAAGTTAGACTAGCTTCAACTAGCACTTTTAAGCACTAGCACATATTCAGTACTAACTCAATGCCAGGTATTATGCAACATTCCCTCCAGGATGTGTGTGGCCACTGGTCTAACTTGAGATGCCTCTGTGCCGGCTCACTTGCGCCTGTCCCTCCTATCTTCCCTGGCACCTTCAATGACCACTCCTTCCCCCACCCAGGCAAGCTGAAAACTTGATTCATCTGGATATTTGGAAAGGAGGTGCTTTGCGCACACACCCACCTCTGCTATTTGCACTCATGTGGGGGAGGGTAGCTGTTTCATGTGCGTTCAGTCCTTGGCACCAGGCCGTCTGCCACCTGCCCTCACCCATTCCCCAGGCAGGACATGCTAGCCCACTCTCCACACCCTGGCCAGTAAGGCACTAAGGCGGGAACTGAGAAGACAAAGTTCAGAGGTGGGGGGCAGGCGGCCTCATGCCCCAGAATGGCCCGAGGAACTAACTGCAGAATGTGCTTAATGACCTTGAAACTGGAGACTTCACTCTGCTGCTCCTGCCGGCCTCCCAAGAGTCTGGCAAGCAGAGCCCAGAGAGCCCTGGGGACTGAGGGCAGACCCCTGGTCGCTTAGAGGACCCGAGTGCACTGCCAAGCATGCAACCAGGCCCCAGATCCAGTGACCACTGTCTAGGCCACGATAATCAGACCTTTTCTCTTTGCACAACCTTTTTTACATGTAAAGTTTTCAGTTCTAAGAGAAACAGCGAGAAAAGTAAAATGTGCAGGAAGGGTTCGTATACTAAAGAATCTGGAGAGTTGAGATGCACACGAGAGGATCTTAGTGAGGGTTTCTAGCTCTTGCTCCACTCTGTAATATTACCATGTTTGCTTTCTCCATGAGTATTTCCAGGATGTAGATCACCTGTCAATGGCCCAAGAAGTGTCGCTGATTTATTGCTTATCAACTTCTAGGTGCAAGTGGGAGTCAGTGCAATGCAAACATCTCTCACCAAGGAGTTGCCCCCTGCGCCCAATGGAGAGCAAACCCCAGGGCCCTGACCTTGAAGAGTGGCAGTGGAAGGTCAAAGAAAGCTTCCCAGAGGAGGTGACCTTTAAGGCAAAGGAACAGATTTCAGTTGGCGAGGGTTGAGAACCCGTGACTCCCTCAGCTCCTTTCCTCCAGTCTACTGAGTCTTCCCGTATTTGGGGGTCTCCGGCTGCTTTCTAGAGCTTGAGGGACAGGGGTCATTCCCTTCCAAGTTACAAGAGGGGGCGGAATCAGAGTGCGGCTAAGGGACCATCCAAGGTTTTGTCTTTAAATTTAATAATGACCAGAGGGTGCCCAGTTAGGGCTGGAGATTTGAACACAAAACACAAAGGAAACACAGGACAGCCTTTGCCCTTGGGGAACTTGGCATCACTAGCAGATAAGCTATGTAAAGTAAAACAGAATCGTAAAGGTACTGTGCGGATTGTTTCCCCAGCTGTTTATCCAGGACGTTCCGTAAGGCACCTGAGCAGGGGCAGGGGAGAGTCAGAAATACAGGTAGATACAGCCCGACCTTTAGAACTCACAGTTTAACTGGCTGCAGGGGAGGCAGGGCGGCAGGAAGAGGCAGCTAACAGTGCGCAGAGTACTGGGCGGGGCGAAAGTAGGTTTACAGTTGTGAGTTCGTGAAACATGGAGCTTATGCTTGCATTATTATTTATTATTATATTAGTTTCCATACAAACAACTGTGAACCTACGTTCGCCCTCCCTGTACAATAGCTGACACTCGAAGACAGTAGGGGGCAAGGAGTCAACCTGCAGCTTGTTGGAATTTGGGGCTTGGAGAGAATCTTTCTGGGAAAGGCTCCTGGAGGAGGTGGATGATGTGGTAAAGCCAGAAAATATCGACATTGAGATAGAGGAGGAAAGAAAATAAGCAAAAGCTTTTCGTGTACTTACCCTCCCAGACCCAGTTTAGTAATCAACTCTTCCAGGAAGCTCCCCAGGCAAAATGAGATTATTCTTCTCCAGGCTCTCAAAGCACTTCTAGTATAGAATGTATCTCATTGCACCCTGACCAGTGTGGCTCAGTTGCTTGGGTATCATCCCGAAAAATGAAAGGTCACCGGTTCAGTTCCCGGTCAGGGCAAATGCCCGTGTTGCAGGCCACGTCCCCAGTCGTGCAGGTGGGAGGCAACTGATAGTTGTTTTGCTCCCTCCCTTCCCCTCTCTAAAAATAAATAATATCTTTTTAAAAAAGAATGTATCTCGTTGTTGTATTTGTTTTCTTACTGCTTGGGTCAACTCAAGGGCCCCACACGAAATTAAAAAGAAGGAAAGAAGGAAGGCGTTTGACTGTAGTGGGTTTGGGTGTCGCATTCACGACAGTCTTTTGTTACTATTACTTTGAAATACAACTCACATATAGTGAAAGGTACAAATCATAAGCATGATTTGTAGCCATGAACACTGAAACAAGGTTACATATGTGAAGCCACCATCCAGATCGCATTACTGAGTGCTCCCAGCACCCCAGGCATTGCAGGCTGCTCACCGTAACAGGGCCGCTGCCACTGTGACTGGAGGACCCAAATTCGTAGGCCGGTGTCGCCCGGGGGCAGCATCTGAGGAAAGGACTTCAGGTGCTTGGGCTGGAGAAGCTCAGTGCTGGGGCAAGGTCATCATTCGTGAGAAGGACTAACTGTGCAAGAGCAATTAGACTTGTGCTGTGGTGGCAGAGGGTGGCCACAGGGAGGGGCATTTAGTAAAGCATGAACCCCTTCCTACCACCACGGCTGACCCACGTTGGAAGCAGACCCCCAGGAGAAGACAAGTAAGGTTCCCATTAATAAAAGGCGTCAGTCAGGAATAGGACTGACGCGCGTTTCGCAGTAATTGATGGTGTGGGGATCGAGGACTCAGTTGGAGACGGCTCCTTCCAACTGAGCGTCTACGATCCTGGAATTCGGTGGCAGTGGCATAGAGGACTCTCTTAAACACTTGTAATTATGAATTGTTCGTTTTTCCAGAGGAAAACTTTTTAATCACAAGTGCTGTGCAGGCCCACCATTACCACCGTTGAAAAAGTAACTGTCATCATCTACAAACCAGCTGGGCCAGAGAGACCTTGGGGCTCCCCTCCCCAGGGCTCACAGTCCCGGGGAAGGAAGCAGATGCTGGGGTGGCACTGCGACATGGGACCAGCACCGACAGGAGAAGTTGGCTGTCCCCATCTCCTACCAACCTGTCATGGGGGCACCCACCCATCTCCTCTGTCCCTTTAGGCCTGGCCCCCCTGGGTGGGAGGGGGCAAATGGGCATGAATAATGGCTCTCACCACTACCAGAACACCAGGGCAGTGGTGGCACTGTAGGGCCTCACTGCTCTGCCTCTTGGGAACAATGCAGGACCATTGCCCTGGCTCAAGAACAGGACCACACAAGGACACCAGCCCCGTGACCACCTGGGGTGAGGGACAGCCTGTATCAGCTGCAGGCTGCTTCAAGGACTCTCAGCCTGGAGGCCAGCACCCTCCCACTCCACCTCCTTCAGGCTTTTCCCAGCAAAACAGCAATTTTCCACAAATCTCTTTTCTGTCCTAGAGGGTTATTACCAAATTTCTCCTGGGATTCCTCCAGCTCCCCTCCCCTAAAAAGGAAGGAAAGAAACAGAGTTTGGACCAAGCATTCTTCCTCCCTCCGGCACCTGGCCAAGGCGCAGATGAGATGCAGCAGGTGAAAACGGGGCTAGGTGAAGATGGACAGTTTCTGCGGTGTTCTGCCTTTTGATAAACCTTTTGAGGTTCTAATGAAAACCATGGATACCCTCCCAATATAAAATATATGAGGAGATTTCGCCTTCAGTTCTGGGGAAAGATGGAGTGGGGGTGGCTCTCAGGCTCTGGAAGTCCGTCTGTGAGGGGCTTCCTCTACCTACCTACGGCCAAAGTCCAAGCCAGACTAGTGTCTGGGGAGAGCTTGGAGCTCCCCCAAGCCCAGGCGAAGCACTGGAAGACCTCACTCTCCCGCCTCTCTGTACACTCAGGACCGCTGGTGCTCTTGGTGTGCCCGGCTCTAAAATGGGCACTCAGGCCCCTCCGCCCCTGGGAGGCTGCGTAAGGACGCTGGTGGGCCGGGGAGTTGGGTGGGAGGAGGGTGGGGGTGGAGAGAGGCTCCGGGCTGGTCTCCGGGCGGGGGCGGAGGGAGAGCTGGTGCGTACGGGAGGGAGCCAGCTGCTCGCTCCCGGACTCTCGGCCGACTGGCCGCAGACCCACCCCCACCTCCCGGAGCCCGGGGCGGGGCCCCCTGCCGGGCGGCCCCTCCCGGCCCCGCCCCTCCCCCCTCCGCCGCCGACCTCCCCCGCCCGGCTGGCCCTCGGCGGGCGAGCGGCACTCGGGCACCGCACGCTCTGGGCCAGCCGCTGCCAGTCCGTCCGCCAGCCGGGGCCATGGGCTGCGACGGCCGCTTGTCCGGGCTGCTCCGCCGCAACCTGCAGCCCACGCTCACCTACTGGAGCGTCTTCTTGAGCTTCGGCCTGTGCATCGCCTTCCTGGGCCCCACGCTGCTGGACCTGCGCTGCCAGACACACAGCTCGCTGTCCCAGATCTCCTGGGTCTTTTTCTCGCAGCAGCTCTGCCTCCTGCTGGGAAGCATCATCGGGGGCGTCTTCAAGCGGACGTGAGTACCGGCCTTCGTCGCGCGGACCCTTCCCTCCCGCCTCCCTCTTCACTGTCCCCGCGGTGCTGGGCTGCGACCACCTCTCCCCACTCTGCCTGCTGTGCCCCCCTTGCTGAAAGGCTGCCTCTGTCCCCCACCCCAGCTCTCCGTGCAAAACTCTCCCTCGGGATCGAAGGTGATCTCTGGATTGTTTTTTGGCCTTCACTCACCCCTGTGAGGGGGTAAACCCAGCGCTTCCCCCGCTCCCCCCACCCCACCCCCACTCCACGGGAGATGGGCGATGCAGTTTGCAAAGGTGGGAGCTTCCCCCTCCTGCACAGTGGGTCTGACGTTTGCCCTTGGCCCCTGCTGCCGGGCGGGCGGGTGGAACTGGAAGTGAGGTGAAAGGAGAATGGGAGTGTCACCTCAGGAGCCCTGCGAGGTGCCAGAGCGCAGAGCTCTGACAGAGCGCGCTGGGCCAGGCTCCACTCACACCAACAGTGCCAGACTCAGGCTGCCCCTTTCCCGGGGTGGCCACAGACCGGTAGGCCCTGTGTGCTCCTGCTTCTAAGGGGCCGCGGTTCCTGCCCTGGACCTTGGAGACTGAGCCCTTTTGCCTGTGAGACACACAGGACCTCTTCACTGGGGCCTTGTGGGGAAGGTCCAGGGTGTCTTATAGCTTGGTAAGGTGACCCTCTCGCCCTGTGCCAGGGTCCCCCCCACTCCCTCACCCCCGTTACTCCTCCCTGGCCTCTGCCCAGGGTCGGTGTCCGGAGTGCCTGGCACGGCCCTGAGACCCTTTTAGGGTCTCGTTGCAGAGCGTTCTTCTCCCACTCAAATTGGACAGAGCCGCCTTCAAGGAGCCCTTTGGAAAGGTGGCAGGATCACTGGCTTAGTGCAGCTGGGAAAACAGACCCAAAACAGAAGATAGATGACTTGCAAGCCAGAAGCTGCTGGGAGATTTTCCTAGTCCGGGCTCTGGGCTGCATGGTTTCCTGGATTGCCTGGGCTCAAGTAGGCAGACGGCCTGGGAACAAAACCACAGCTGGGCTATCTCAGAGAAACCTCTGGGGGACCGGTCTGGGGCAAGGGCAGCCGTCCCGGACTCACTGCTGGAGGCGTCCTAGAGGGTGGGTTTTCCCGTCCACCTCACTCCACGGCTGATGCCAGAGGGGCACAGGTGCCGTACCGATGGCCCCGCATTAAGCCACCAAATGATAAAACTCCCTAATTGTCGACTAGGGAGTGATTATCCCCACTACCGAATCCTTTTGTAAACCCAAAACCTCTCCTCTTAAGAAGCACCTCTCTGTTCTGTGTTTCCATGGGTTTGTGCAGGACTGGATGTATGCGGGACTCAGACAGTCAAAAACTCAAGATCCATTCTGATTCTATCTGGAGGTGTATTTTTATTTATTTTTTCAATTACATTTGACATACAATATTCTATTAGTTTGAGGTGTATAACACAGCAATTAGGCATTTATATACCTTGTAAAATGATCACCTTTCTATGTCTAGTACCCATATGGCACCATACACAGTTATTGCAATATTCTTGACTATTTTCCCTATTCTATATTTTATATCCTGTGACTATAACTGTCAATTCGTACTTTTTAAAATATTTATTGATTTTAGAGAGGGAGAGAGGGGAAAGAAGAAAGAGAAAGAAAGAGAAACCTCGATTGTTGCTCCACTTATTTATGCATTCATTGGTTGACTCTTGTATGTGCGTTGACCGGGAACTGAACCAGCAACCTTGGCGTTTCAGAATGATGCTCCAACCAACTGAGCTACCTGCCCAGGGCCCAGTTTGTATTTCTTAGTCCATTTACCCATCCTCTCCAGTCTCCCTCCCATCAGGCAACAATCAGTTTGTTCTCTGCATCTATGAATTTATTTCTGTTTTCTTTGTGTATTTTTTAGATTCCATATATAAGTGAAGTCACATGGCATTTGTGTCTCTGTGTCCAACTTATTTCACTTTACGTCATATCCTTTAGGTCCATGGTCCTTCGGGTCGTCAGAAGTGGCCTTTTCGTTCTTTTTTATGGCCGAGTAATACTCCATTGTGTATGTGTACCACTTTTATCCATTCGTCAGTTGACGGGCACTGGGGTTGTTCCATACCTTGTCTGTTGTGACTCCCGCTGCAGTCAGCATAGGGGTGCACGGACCTCCGAATTAGTGTTTTAGGTTTCTTCAGATAAATGCCTAGGAGTGGAGTCGCTGGGTCACATGGCGGATCCATTTTTAATCTGTTGAGGAGCCTCCATACTGCTTTCCACGGTGGCCGCACCAGTCTGCATACGCACCAACAGTGCCCAAAGGTTCCGTTTTCTCCGCATCCTCTCCAACACTGGTTGTTTGTCGATTTATTGTTACTAGCCATTCTGACAGGTGTGAGGTAATCTGCCTAGAGGTTTGATTGGAAATCTATCAAGGTATTCTTCTGTTTTTCTTCTTGTGTTTTGAGTGTTTTGATCTATAACAGCCCCCTCGCCTGGAACTTTTCAGGAGCGCGAGTAGTGCAGAGCACCAGAGGGGGCATGAGTGCAACCCTATGTGGCAGGTCACGGCATGGGCCTCATGAAAAGAACAGAGATACACGTCCAGCTGGACCATCTCTCCCTCCCTGGCTCTGAACCTCCCTTAAGGTTCCTTGCTCAACAGGGGGCTCTGGACAAGCAGTGGAAAGGGCCCCGCAGCAGGAAGGCTACTCACAGAAAGGAAAAATGGTAATGGTGACGGCAGTGACTAACTTTATTGAGCACTTAGCCAGTTCCAGGCACCGTTCTTAGTACCTCACTTATATGAGCCCATTTCACCCTCATGAGAACCCCGAAGAGTAATACTATTTCGAGGAAGCTGAGGCATAGAGCAGTTAAGAGACTTGCCGCAGGTCCCACAGCTATTCGGAGGCCTAGTCAGAATTTGAGCCCAGGCATCTGTCTGTAGAACCAGGCATCTGTCTGTAGAACCAGGCATCTGTCTTCAGGGTATGAGTCACAACCTGCACTCCTGGGCACAGGCGTGGGCTGTCTCTCAGCTGACCCACCTGGGAAGGAAGCTGTGGGCCTTTGGGGCTTCCTGCTGGGATCGGAGGGTGGCGTAGAGCAGGGTGGGGACAGTAGGTCCTGTCAGTGTTTCAGGTTTAAATTCTGAACCTTAGTCTTTCCATCCCGAAGACGAAATGTCGCAAAGATCCCTTTCTTCTAGTTAAGAGCAAAGCAGACTCCTGTGGAAGTGGGGGGATATCACAGGGCTGACCTGTGGGTAAGTGGGGGGTCACCTCCTAGCTAGGCCTGGATATGATTCCCCATCCCCCAACTCACCCCAATAAACCGACCTCCACGGGCTCTGAAACCAGCTTCTAAAGCTTGATTCCTTGGGGCCTCCCCACATCTCAGTTAAAATGCTAATACCCCTCCCTGCAAGTGCTTTTCAGCTTAAGTGATTACTGGCTTGTGCACCCGGCTAGTGCTTGTCAGTGGGGGATTGGCTGAACACCAGAGAGGGCCAGCTGCTGAGGGGGGCGGTGTGAGGGGGCGGTGCGGGCGGTGCGGAGCCCTGGAGAGAGGGAATCCCGAAGGCAGCTCTTCTTTCTCCAGGATTCGGTCTCAGTTCTGCCTGCCTCGTGCCCCAGACCTACAGCCAGGGCTGGATAGTTTCTGGATGCCTCCACAGTGACATGTGCTGGAGGGACTGGGTGTGGAAAGCCTTGGATGTCAGGGTGGGTGCAGGGGAGATGGAAGCCCTGGCTCGGGGCAGGGCCAGTGTGCACACACGTCCTCTCCTTCCCTCCCCTCCTTCACTCTCTTCCCTTCTAGCATGGAGGGGTATTGAAGGAGGTCACCACAGGCAGGCCAAGAGGGAGAAGAGTGCAACTGGGTCAGAAAAATCAGGGGAAGACCTTCCTTAGGAGAGCAGAAAATAGTTCAAGTAAAACATAAAGCCACCTGGCAGGTGAGGAGTATCTGTATGTGCTTTGTCAGAAAGAGGAGGGAGGGTGTATTTAGACAAAAGTTCAGAGTTTCTTCCTGGTTTCTTGGGGACCTGTCTAACCACCCTGGGCAGTTTGGGAGACCCCTTTATCTCAAAGGCATCAGGGTGGAAAAGTGGCTTTCAGGGCTTCCCCAGTCTTCTCCCAGCCCCGCCCTGGCCTCTCCCCTGAATATACCCTGCTAACTGAAGCCTCTATAAGTTCTTCCCTTCTTTGCCCTAGTCACCATCTCCTTCTCTACCTTCCTTTTTTCTCAAATCCCTGCAAGTCCCGCCCTGCCTCAGACCCAGCTCCAACCCTCTCCTGCCCCTTGCATGAAACCCAGTGTTCTGTGCAAGGCTCCCCAGGCTCCTCTCAGACCTGCTTCTGTAAGATGCTGGCCCCCGTGGGGACACGATACAAAAGCCAGTTCCTTCCTCTGACCTGGGCCCTTGGTTGGTCTCCCATCCAGAAAGCCTCGCCTCTTTTGCCAGCAGCTTGTCCACCTTGCAGCTTGTCCACCTGCCGCTTGTCCACCTTGCAGCTTGTCCACCTGCAGCTTGTCCATCTTGCAGCTTGTCCACCTTGCAGCTTGTCCACCTGCAGCTTGTCCACCTTGCAGCTTGTCCACCTTGCAGCTGGTCCACCTTGCAGCTTGTCCACCTTGCAGCATGCAACAAACCTGGGCCAGAAGCCACCAGGCGTGCTTCTTGCTTTAAAAATCCATCTCAGCATGGAGTTACCATATGACGCAGCAACTCCATGGCAAGGTATATGCCTCAAATAAAGACATATGTCCACACAAAACTTGTACATGCATATTTATAGCAGTGTTATTCATCATGGCCAAAAAGAGGAAACAAACCAAATGTCCATCAACAGAATGTGGTACATCTCTACAGTGGGCTGTTATTCAGTCATAAACAGGAAGGAACTACTGCCATGTGCTACAATGCGAGGGAACCTTGAAACACTATGTTGAGTGAAAGAAGCAGACACAAAATATGACGTGCTGTATGGTTTCATTTATTTGAGA